TCTCTGTACTTTCTCCTGTTCCCCAATGTTCTTTTTGTGAATTGGAGCCCAATACTGAACTGCATATTCCAGACGAGGTATTACTAATGATTTGTATCGGGGGGGGGGGTGATATCTCTCTCTGGAGTCTATACCTCTCCTCCTTCAGAACCCGCAGCTTGGCATTGCATGCCATTATTACGCTTGTGATCTACCAGAACCCCCAGATCCTTCTCCACCATTGACCCCCCCAGATCCTTCTTCACCATTGACTTCCCCAGATCTTTCTGCACCATTGACCCCCCCAGATCCTTCTCCACCATTGACCCCCCCAGACCCTTCTCCACCGTTGACCCCCCTAGATCCTTCTCTACAATTGACCCCCCCCCAGACCCTTCTCCACCATTGACCCCCCAGACCCTTCTCCACCATTGACTCCCCCCAGATCCTTCTCCACCATTGACCCCCCCCCAGATCCTTCTCCACCATTGATCCCCCCCAGATCCTTCTCCACCATTGACCCCCCTAGATCCTTCTCCACCATTGATCCCCCCTCCCAGATCCTTCTCCACCATTGACCCCCCTAGATCCTTCTTCACCATTGATCCCCCCCCTCCCAGATCTTTCTCCACCATTGACCCCCCCTCCCAGATCCTTCTTTACCATTGACCCCCCCAGATCTTTCTCCACCATTGACCCCCCTAGATCCTTCTTCATCATTGACCCCCCCTCCCCAGATCCTTCTCCACCATTGACCCCCCCCTCCCAGATCCTTCTTTACCATTGACCCCCCCAGATCTTTCTCCACCATTGACCCCCCTAGATCCTTCTCCACCATTGACCCCCCCTCCCAGATCCTTCTCCACCATTGACCCCCCTAGATCCTTCTCCACCATTGACCCCCCTCCCAGATCCTTCTCCACCATTGACCCCCCCAGATCTTTCTCCACCATTGACCCCCCTCCCAGATCCTTCTCCACCATTGACCCCCCCTCCAGATCCTTCTCCACCATTGACCACCCCAGATCTTTCTCCACCATTGACCCCCCCAGATCTTTCTCCACCATTGACCCCCCCAGATCCTTCTCCACCATTGACCCCCCTAGAACCTTCTCCACCATTGACCCCCCCCTCCCAGATCCTTCTCCACCATTGACCCCCCCAGATCTTTCTCCACCATTGACCCCCCTCCCAGATCCTTCTCCACCATTGACCCCCCTCCCAAATCCTTCTCCACCATTGACCACCCCAGATCTTTCTCCACCATTGACCCCCCCCAGATCTTTCTCCACCATTGACCCCCCCAGATCCTTCTCCCCCATTGACCCCCCTAGAACCTTCTCCACCATTGACCCCCCCCTCCCAGATCCTTCTCCACCATTGACCCCCCCCAGATCCTTCTCCACCATTGACCCCAGATCCTTCTCCACCATTGACCCCCCTAGAACCTTCTCCACCATTGACCCCCCCTCCCAGATCCTTCTCCACCATTGACCCCCCCAGATCTTTCTCCACCATTGACCCCCCCAGATCCTTCTCCACCATTGACCCCCCTAGAACCTTCTCCACCATTGACCCCCCTCCCAGATCCTTCTCCACCATTGACCCCCCCAGATCTTTCTCCACCATTGACATCCCTTTTGAGTTCAGATGTTTCCAGGAAGCTGTTAATGTTACAACACAACCAAAATAGAAATAGGAAAATGTACAACATCCATATAACAGACCTCCAGATTCAGAAGCTTCAGCAGGTATTCTGTATAATGGAGCAGAGCATCCCATGGACAACCAGTTCAAAGCTCAGCAAGTCTGTGTCTCGGACACATTCACATTCCGATGTAGTGGACTTGCTGAGCTTTGAAGTGATTGTTGATGGGATATCCTACATATTTATATAATCTCAGCACAGGAACATGTTTAATCCCATCATGTGTGACCGGGAGGACTGTACAGTCAGCTTAGCGTTCTAGTCGGCATGGAATGACTGGGACCCTGAGCACTGAGACGTTATTTACATATATATACGGTATATACTATACAATCTGCTCTCTGGGGCTAACAATTCTATTTGTTTAGTATATATGTAGTAATTACCGTGTGCCACAGGTTTAGACATGTAACATACATAATATATACTGTATATGTTACCTCATGTAACCTTTTAGATTTTATTAACTTGTTATATATAGACTGATATATGTCTGCCGATTTACCTCTCAAATATTTGTTTTCTTCCTTTTTGGTTACTATAAGTTTTGTACATTTAATAGAGTCGAACGCCATTGTACAATCTGGTGTGGTACTGTTGGGATGTGGGAAATAAGCCACTACGTCAGGGTTTTGTGCCTTCCTCTGGATCCACTGTGGGTGGAGGATTATAACTTTTTTTTTTTTTAATGGTTGAACTGGATTGACTTTTGTCTTTTTTCAGCCAGACTAACTATGTAACTGTGTAACGTCATACAAAGACATTGTAGACAATTGTGCTCTTCCAGCCTTGTGGTAACAGTTTGGTGAAGACCCTTTTCTGTTCCCCCTTGACTGTCCCCCGTGTACAAAGCCAGCTCCATAAAGACATGAGTTGACCAATTTGGACCAGCTCCATAAAGAAATGAATGACCAGTTTGGACCAGCTCCATAAAGACATGAATGACCAGTTTGGACCAGCTCCATAAAGATATGAGTTGACCAGTCTGGACCAGCTCCATAAAGACATGAGTTGACCAGTTTGGACCAGCTCCATAAAGACATGAATGACCAGTTTTGGACCAGTTCCATAAAGACATGAATGACCAGTTTGGACCAGCTCCATAAAGAAATGAATGACCAGTTTGGACCAGCTCCATAAAGATATGAGTTGACCAGTTTGGACCAGCTCCATAAAGACATGAGTTGACCAGTTTGGACCAGCTCCATAAAGACATGAATGACCAGTTTGGACCAGCTCTATAAAGACATGAGTTGACCAGTTTGGACCAGCTCTATAAAGACATGAGTTGACCAATTTGGACCAGCTCCATAAAGAAATGAATGACCAGTTTGGACCAGCTCCATAAAGACATGAATGACTAGTTTGGACCAGCTCCATAAAGATATGAGTTGACCAGTCTGGACCAGCTCCATAAAGACATGAGTTGACCAGTTTGGACCAGCTCCATAAAGACATGAATGACCATTTTGGACCAGTTCCATAAAGACATGAATGACCAGTTTGGACCAGCTCCATAAAGAAATGAATGACCAGTTTGGACCAGCTCCATAAAGATATGAGTTGACCAGTTTGGACCAGCTCCATAAAGACATGAGTTGACCAGTTTGGACCAGCTCCATAAAGACATGAATGACCAGTTTGGACCAGCTCTATAAAGACATGAGTTGACCAGTTTGGACCAGCTCTATAAAAATATGAGTTGACCAGTTTGGACCAGCTCCATAAAGACATGAATGACCAGTTTGGACCAGCTCTATAAAGACATGAGTTGACCAGTTTGGACCAGCTCCATAAAGACATGAGTTGACCAGTTTGGACTAGCTCCATAAAGACATGAGTTGACCAGTTTGGACCAGTTCCATAAAGACATGAGTTGACCAGTTTGGACCAGTTCCATAAAGACATGAGTTGACCAGTTTGGACCAGCTCCATAAAGACATGAGTTGACCAGTTTGGACCAGTTCCATAAAGACATGAGTTGACCAGTTTGGACCAGTTCCATAAAGACATGGATGACCAGTTTGGACCAGTTCCATAAAGACATGAGTTGACCAGTTTGGACCAGTTCCATAAAGACATGAGTTGACCAGTTTGGACCAGTTCCATAAAGACATGGATGACCAGTTTGGACCAGTTCCATAAAGACATGAGTTGACCAGTTTGGACCAGCTCCATAAAGACATGAGTTGACCAGTTTGGACCAGTTCCATAAAGACATGAGTTGACCAGTTTGGACCAGTTCCATAAAGACATGGATGACCAGTTTGGACCAGTTCCATAAAGACATGAGTTGACCAGTTTGGACCAGCTCCATAAAGACATGAGTTGACCAGTTTGGAGCAGTTCCATAAAGACATGAGTTGACCAGTTTGGACCAGTTCCATAAAGACATGGATGACCAGTTTGGACCAGTTCCATAAAGACATGAGTTGACCAGTTTGGACCAGTTCCATAAAGACATGAGTTGACCAGTTTGGACCAGTTCCATAAAGACATGAGTTGACCAGTTTGGACCAGCTCCATAAAGACATGAGTTGACCAGTTTGGACCAGTTCCATAAAGACATGAGTTGACCAGTTTGGACCAGCTCCATAAAGACATAGTTTAACCATTTTTATGCGGAGGAACTCGAATGTCTTGTACAGAGCCCTGACCTCAACCCTACTGAACACCTTTGGGCTAATCGAAATACCAATGGTTAGTCAGGTCTTCTCATCCAGCATCAGTACCTGATCTCATAACTGGGGACAAACTCCTACAGACCCTCCAACATCTTGTGGAAAGTCTTCCCAGAAGAGTGAAGTGTTATAGCCACAAAGGGGGCAATGCTATTCTAATGGCAATGGTTTTAGAAAGGGATGTCCAACAAGCTTATACAGTATATGTGTGTGATGGGTAGAGGAACTGAGAGGGGAGTGTCCAGGGGTGGACTGACAACTCATGGGGCCCCCAGGCAATATGGGATCATGGGGCCCCTGTGTCCTCACCCACAGCCAAAAAAAGCCTATGAAAAAGCCAATTAAAGGTACCAGGAGCATCTCATGGGGCCCCCTACTGACCCCGGGCCCTCGGCAGTGCCCGAGTGCCCAAATGGTCAGTCCGCCCCTGGGAGTGTCCTGCACAGAACCCTGACCTCAACTCTACTGAAAACCATTGAGGTGAGTTGGAACACAAATATCATACCAGTACACAGACTGTGGTCCCTATGTCCAACAGATCCAACACTACTAGTCCTGAAGAAGGGGGAGCCCCAAGGCCCTGAGATGTTTTGGCCATGTTGTAGGTAATACATACACTATCAGAGGTGTCCCTAGGGTTGGTGTAACCCGGTGCGGTAACACTTGGTGACACCCCCTCTGACGATCCCTGCAGAATGGATCGGATCTGCGGATTGAGCATAATGGATCAGACTCCGATCCATTATGCTCAATCCGCAGATCCGATCCATCCTGCAGGGATCGTCAGCTTTCTTTACAACTTACCTTTTCTTGGAGCGGGTCTGGGACAACTGCGCATGTCCTGGTTTCAGGCACGATCAATTGATGAGAGCAGTAGTTCTATCATCGATTGATTGTGCCTGAAACCGGGACATGTGCAGTTGCTTCAGGGGGACATCTACATGGGAGACACATCTTGCTGATACACTGGTGTCACCCCGCAGGATTGTCCACATGCAACCTATATGGGGTGACACCGGACCCACTCCACGAAAAGGTAAGAAAAGAAAGGTAAGTTGTAAAGAAAACCTACGATCGTCGGCTTGCTTTACAACTTACCTTTTTGTGGAGCGGGTCCCTTGTCACCCGTGTGGTCGGTGTCACCCAGGGCGGACCGCACCGCCCGCACCTGCCTCAGGACGCCACTGACACTAATAAAGTGATCACTGCTCTCCAACTGGCTGGAGTTTAAACTAGCATGGTGTTCCTCACCCAGCTCCACAATCTCATCCCTACTAAACACTTTACACACCAATTGTGAGCCAGGTCTTGTCATCCAACATACCTGAACTCACAAAATGGGCACCAATTCCCACAGACATCCTCCAACGTCTTGTGGAAAGTCTTCCCAGAAGAGTGGAGGATGTAATAGATGCAAAGCAGGTGAGCTCCATAAAGGCGCGGTTTGACAGTTTGGTGTAGAGGAACTTTAAATATCCTGAGAACCTCCAGAGAAACATGAATGAACACCGAGACCTACAATGATTTCCTGGGGCCTTAGTTGACCTAGGCCTAAGGGACTTTTTTTGTAGACAATTGTGCTCTTCCAACCTTGTGGTAACAGTTGGGTGAAGACCCTTTTCTGTTCGTCCATGACTGTCCCCTGTGTACAAAGCCAGATTCATAAAGACATGGATGACCAGTTTGGTGAAGACCCTTTTCTGTTCCCCCATGACTGTCCCCTGTGTACAAAGCCAGCTCCATAAAGACATGGATGACCAGTTTGGAGAAGACCCTTTTCTGTTCCTCCATGACTGTCCCCGGTGTACAAAGCCAGCTCCATAAAGACATGGATGACCAGTTTGGAGAAGACCCTTTTCTGTTCCCCCATGACTGTCCCCTGTGTACAAAGCCAGCTCCATAAAGACATGGATGACCAGTTTGGAGAAGACCCTTTTCTGTTCCTCCATGACTGTCCCCTGTGTACAAAGCCAGCTCCATAAAGACATGGAGGACCAGTTTGGAGAAGACCCTTTTCTGTTCCCCCATGACTGTCCCCTGTGTACAAAGCCAGCTCCATAAAGACATGGATGACCAGTTTGGAGAAGACCCTTTTCTGTTCCTCCATGACTGTCCCCTGTGTACAAAGCCAGCTCCATAAAGACATGGAGGACCAGTTTGGTGAAGACCCTTTTCTGTTCCCCCATGACTGTCCCCTGTGTACAAAGCCAGCTCCATAAAGACATGGATGACCAGTTTGGAGAAGACCCTTTTCTGTTCCTCCATGACTGTCCCCTGTGTACAAAGCCAGATTCATAAAGACATGGATGACCAGTTTGGTGAAGACCCTTTTCTGTTCCCCCATGACTGTCCCCTGTGTACAAAGCCAGCTCCATAAAGACATGGATGACCTGTTTGATGAAGACCCTTTTCTGTTCCCCCATGACTGTCCCCTGTGTACAAAGCCAGCTCCATAAAGACATGGATGACCAGTTTGGTGTGAAGAAACTCCAGTGTCCTGTACAAAGCCCAGACCTCAACCTACTGATCTCCTTTGGAGTGAATTGGATCCTCCGATGGTGCTCCATATTAATGACCATTGGGGGAAGGGGGCAACTCCATATTAATGGCAATGGTTTTGGAAAGGTTGTCCCACAAGCTGATATAGGTGTGATGGGTGAGGGACTTTGGGCGTCCTGCACAGAGCCCTGACCTCAATTCCACTGAACACCTTTGAGATGAATTAAAACACTGAAGGTGAACCAGGTCTTCTCATGCGACACCAGTACCTGACCTCATAAATGGGTACAAATTCCTACAGACACCCTCCAAAATCTTGTGGACAGTCTTCCCAGAAGGGTGGAGGATGTTGTAGCCACAAAGAGGGATGGAGGAGTAACCAACTCCATATTAATGGCCATAAGGGGGAAAGGAGATATATATATATATATACATATCAGGGGCGGACTGACTATTTGGAAACTCGGGCACTGCCCAAGGGCCCGGGTCAGTAGGGGGCCCCATGAGATGCCCCTGGTACCTTTTTCATAGGTTTTTTTGAGTTTGGGCCCATGATCCCCTATTGCCCAGGGGCCCCATGAGTTGTCAGTCCGCCCCTGATATATATATATATATATAGAGCTAACAGTTTGCTCAGGCAGCCAGTACAGTTACAATACACTTCCATACAAGAGGGATCAGAGGGCCCGGCTCCTCAGAGCTCACAATCTATTCCATACAAGAGGGATCAGAGGGCCCGGCTCCTCAGAGCTCACAATCTATTCCATACAAGAGGGATCAGAGGGCCCGGCTCCTCAGAGCTCACAATCTATGGATATTCTGCCACCAATGAACTCAAAGACTTAGAACTGCAACCAAAAATGATTTCTTACACGAATCTTCGCCTCCCAAAGAAATCGTCTTCATCCGTAATCATTGCGCCAAAACAATTTATTACACTCCTGAGAGGAGTCTCCCCCTGCTACAAATTATACGCCGATCTCCCGCTTTACCTCGACATCGTCTTGAGCGAATTCAAAATAGCTCCTTCTATTTTAAGTGGCCTGACAAGGGGCCATCATGGAGAGATACGAGGGGAGGTCTGTCGGGTCAATGAGAAGAAGACGGCTTCCAGGGAACAAAGAAACACATAGGGCCCCATCCAAAATGTCCCTCTAAATCCATGAAAATAAAGTATCTGTCAGAAAACTGCCAAGATAACCATCCGGTCAACCGAAAGAACGGAGACTCGATCCAGATGTTGGCGAGTCTCTTGGGAAGCCCTCAAACGTCTTCTGCTGGTGAAGAATAATTGGCAGAGGAAGTGAAGATGATCGGTGTCACCGGCTGAAACATCACATACAGTCCCTACATAGAGGACCGCTTCAAAGATCCCACCACAGACCACTGCTTGGCTTTGTACCGTCACACACGTTGGCAGTTGGTTTCATTACGAATCGAAATTCGGATACAATTTTTGCTATTTGGAAATTCACAAGTATCCGAATTTCCAAATGACAATAGTAACGAAATGAAAGAATCCGAAAAGATTTATAACAAAACAAATTTATCAAATTGCGCAACTGTTAAAAAAAAATTTCATATTGGAAAATTAAATTGAAAATTATTTTGAACCCAAATTCAACCCCTGCACCCCCCTAGATCCGACCCTACACATGATGGGGTGCCCACCTCGCCTGCTCCTGGTCAGTACTAGAGACATGGATCTGTCTGTGACATCTCAGTCACTGTGCTGGAGGCAACCACTGAGAGCGCTCTCTGCACAGACACCTCGGCTGTCCACAGACACATATATGCGCTGTCTTAGCGGCTCTGCTGATCCCCCTCTCAGTAGTAACCCCCAGCTCTGCTCATCCCCCGCTCAGTAGTAACCTCCAGCTCTGCTGATCCCCCGCTCAGTAGTAACCTCCAGCTCTGCTGATCCCCCACTCAGTAGTAACCCCCTGCTCTGCTGATCCCCCTCTAAGTAGTAACCTCCAGCTCTGCTGATCCCCCGCTCAGTAGTAACCCCCAGCTCTGCTGATCCCCCACTCAGTAGTAACCCTCAGCTCTGCTGATACCCCACTCAGTAGTAACCCCTAGCTCTGCTGATCCCCCGCTCAGTAGTAACCCCCATCTCTGCTGATCCCCCACTCAGTAGTAACCCTCAGCTCTACTGATCCCCCACTCAGTAGTAACACCCAGCTCTGCTCATCCCCCTCTCAGTAGTAACCTCCAGCTCTGCTGATCCCCCTCTCAGTAGTAACCCCTAGCTCTGCTGATCCCTCTCTCAGTAGTAACCCACAGCTCTGCTGATACCCCTTTCAGTAGTAAACCCCAGCCTGCTGATCCCCCCACTCAATAGTAACCCCCAGCTCTGCTGATCCCCCACTCAATAGTAACCCCCAGCTCTGCTGATCCCCTACTCAGTAATAACCCCCAGCTCTGCTGATCCCCAGCTCAGTAGTAACCCCCAGCCAGCTCTGCAGATCTCCTGCTCCGTAGTAACTACCAGCTCTGCTGATCCCCCACTCAGTAATAACCCCCAGCTCTGCTGGTCCTGGCTCAGTAGTAACCCCCAGTTCTGCTGTTCCCAGCTCAGTAGTACCCCCCAGTTCTGCTGATTCCCCACTCAGTAGTAACCCCCAGCTCTGCTGATCCTCCACTCAGTAGTAACCCCCAGCTCTCCAAATCCCCCACTCAGTAGTAACACCCAGCTCTGCTGATCCCCCTACTCAGTAGAAACTCCCAGCTCTGCTTATCCCCCACTCATTAGTAATCCCTGGCTCTGCTATTCCCTCATTCAATAGTAACCCCCAGTGCTGCTGATTGCCATTCAGTTGTAACCCCTACCTCTGCTGTTCTCCCACTCAGTAGTAACCCCCAGCTCTGCTGATCCCCCACTCAGTAGTAACCCCCAGCTCTTCTGACCCCCCCCTGGCTCAGTTGTAAACTCCAGCTGTGCTGTTCCCCCACTCAGTAGTAACCACCAGCTCTGCTGATCCACCACTCAGCAGTAAACCCCCAGCTCTGCTGATCCCCCACTCAGTAGTAACCCCAAGCTCTGCTGATTCCCCACTCAGTAGTAACCCCCAGCTCTGCTAATCCCCCACTTAGTAGTTACCCCAAGCTCTGCTGATCCTCCGCTCAGTAGTAACCCCCAGCTCTGCTGTTCCCTGCTCTGCAGTAACCCTCAGCTCTGCTGATCCCCCAATTAGTAGTGACCCCCAGCTCTGCTGATCCCCCATCAGTAGTAATTCCCAGCTCTGCAGATTCTCCACTTAGTAGTAACCCCAAACTCTGCTGTTCCCCCACTCAGTAGTAACCCAGAGCTCTGCTGATCCCCCACTCAGTAGTAACCCCATCTCTGCTGATCCCCCACTCAGTAGTAACCCCATCTCTGCTGATCTCCCGCTCAGTAGTAACCCCATCTCTGCTGATCTCCCGCTCAGTAGTAACCCCATCTCTGCTGATCTCCCGCTCAGTAGTAACCCTGGGCTTTGCTGTTCCCCGATCAGTAGTAACCCCCAGCTCTGCTGATCCCCCACTCAGTAGTAACCCCCAGCTCTGCTGATCTCCTGCTCAGTAGTAACCCCATCTCTGCTGATCCCCCACTCAGTAGTAACCCCCAGCTCTGCAGATCTCCCGCTCAGTAGTAACCCCATCTCTGCTGATCTCCCACTCAGTAGTAACCCTAGCTCTGCTGATC